TGAAGAAGAAGAAGAAGAAGAAGAAGAAGAAGAAGAAGAAGAAGAAGAAGAAGAAGAAGAAGAAGAAGAAGAAGAAGAAGAAGAAGAAGAAGAAGAAGAAGAAGAAGAAAAAAAAATGAAGAAGAAACCACCACCGTTCCCTCCCTATCTCCTCTTTTTTTTCCCTTAATCCCCGTTTTTTCTGGGGGGGGGTTGTTTGTTAAATGTTGCACAGGCATAAATGCTTTATCATATTTTGACCTGCTTTCTACTTTTAAAAGAGAACAACGAGCATGCTGTACGTTTAACCGTACAAGTCTGCAAAGGACACAAACGACTGAACATTCTAGCAAACAAACCAAATAAAACAGATCGGTTAAACGAGAGGCAAACTCATTAGCATATTCTCATTACATTGTCTAATCCGACATAGCACTGTGAAAACAATACCTCGCTTGCCATGAAAGGACTTCGGCTTGCTTCAAATTACTCATCCCATCACCTGCGACTCAGTCAATAAAAATGGCATCTAAATTTTCGAAACACAAACCGTTACAATGACATTAAGTGGGTAGTAATATTTATGAACTACAGGATTTTGAAAGTTGAGATGAGAAGAGCTATTCTGTCAGGCTCGTCTGTCAATAGGTTATCCCTCTCACTGCTGACGGAAACCTAGACGGGGATTTGCATCAGCAGCTGTTTATATATGAAAATGAAAATAAGATCTACATGCTCCCTTTATTAAATAAAATGCGTGGCATACAACATTACTGTTTTATCCTGATACTGCCTAAAGGATTGCATGGCCTTGTCTGAGTCGAAGTTGAGAATTTTGTAAATTTCCATAGCATCAATACTGCCCTGAAAACACCTTGAAAGAAATTGCCATCTTTATATTTCATTCAGAAATTAAAAAACTGTGCCGTCCCTGAAAATGATATGACTTCATCGTTTGAATTATATATGAACATTCCATTCGAGTTCTTTTAGTTTGGAAACAAATTATTTGATTGTCGAAAAATTGACAAAGGCTACTACATGCATGTATACCCCCCCCCCCCCAAACTCATTAAAAAATATCCCTCAGCCTCCTGCCCGAAAGAACAGATGCCGTACCATGTCTATTCCTAGTCCTAGACCGTGTAATGCTATGGCAGCCCGCTCTTTGCCCTCTAAAAACTTCAATGCAGAGCGCTCTCACCTTAAGCGCTCAAATATAGTGCCAAACACCAGTCTCTCACTCTCCCAGTCAGTGTCCCTCATAGAGTTGTACATCTATGGTGTCCCTCATAGTCATAGCGTTGTACATCTATGGTGTCCCTAGAGTTGAGAGTACGTGCAACTTTTTTGCTGCCTTGAATTTTTTTTCCAACTTGATTCAAATAGTGCACAGCGCACACCATAGTGAACCGGGATTATGTCAGAGTGCGAGGATACATTTTGTGTGCAATGCATAAGTCTATGCAAGCAAACGACTCCCAGCCTTTGGTTTGTTTTGGCAGGGAAGTTTTAAATCAAATTCGAAGTCATCTCTATTTTAACGACAACATGTCATATAAAAGTTTCTAACATTTTCAACTTTTGAATCGTACGTTTTTTGCTTGCATTATTATTGTTTTGTTTGGGGCTTATTTCGAGGAGGGAGGCATGTGGATAGCACACATGATACTATAGCCTAGGCCTAGTTCTGTCAAAATTCGTGGTGCGCTTATAATATTGTCAAATAGTTCCTAAACTATCGAACATAGACTCCCCATCTTTTCCACGATGACGTGTATCAATTTGTTTTAGCAGATTAATATTTTTGAAAACACCTATCAACCATATTCTATTAAATTCCTTAATAAATACTGATTTTTTAAAAATCGAAGTGAATGGGTTTTACAGATTCTAAAAGGTTTACAGCTTGGACAATATCGTTTTTGAAGTAAATGCAAGTCCGTCATTGTTTTCTAATCATGACATGCTTATTGAAGGTATGTTTTGTGAACATTTAGTGCGATAGGCCAATAGTGTTTGTTCACTATACTATAAAATCTATTTCTTGTCACAAGTTTGGCCACAATAAAATGTTTTTAGTGAGCTGTGACGTAGGCCATATGCGCATGCAAAATGTGTGTGAGAAGAAGAAAATGCAGTGAACAATCCCATTTTCCGAGAAAGGGATTCATTATTGTATTTTATATAAATTTATAAAGAAAAATTCTTAATCTTGCGTCAATTGTTGTGGGAAAATATGATTTAGATAAGACAAATTGATACAAACTGTGCAAAATATGGATGACATTGATATTTGAGGATAAGTAGCGCCATGAATTTTGACCGCACTATTGTGTGGCGTGTGGCTAAAAGTAAAAGGCAAAATTCAGATTTTTTTCCCAATCCTCACTCTGATTCTGACGGGCATGAACATTTTGTTTTCATGAGAGACACTTGAATGGATCCTCTTGTCCACTTGACTGGTAATCAGTAAGGTATAAAACATTTATTGCACTTACACTCGTTACGCTGGTTGATCATGGTTTATCCTACTACTTGTGAAATTAGTAATTACCAGTTAATTTGTAATCATTCGTTGAATCTCGGGATTTTAAATTCGGCAAATTCGCTCGTAGGATAGATCATGATCTCCCACAATAACGAGTGTAATAAAATTTGGAAAAATCTGGATAATAAATTCTTTTTACATATATTTATGCTAGCCTAGGCCTGCATCACAGGTACATAATATGTATTTTAATGGCGTCGGTGGCCTAGTGGTTAAGCTACAGGACTCGTAATCGTGAGGTTGCGGGTTCGGGGGTTCGAGCCGCAGGCCCGGCGTTGTGTCCTTGGGAAAGGCACTTTACACGAATTTCCCTTACACGAATTTCCCCCACAAAAATGGGTGCCCGGCTATAGACATTGAAAGATCTTGTCAGTTTTTTTAGTATTTGAGCGCTTAACCTGCTGTTTCCACTGTATGCTTCCCAGGAAGCTTAGAATGTTTCTGAGTGTTCTATGTTCTGCTGGGGTAATAATATAGTGTAAAGCGCATAGAGCTCGCTTTCGAGTGGGGATATGCGCTATACAAATGTTATTTATTATTATTTGAAAGGATTGTGGTACATCGAATTGGCAGATATGCATGAAAAGTGTCACCGAATAAGCTGTTGAAATATTATTTTGTATAGAACTATCGGGGAGAGTGAACTTTGAGGTATGTTAATCTTGTTGATGATGATGATGACTATGATGATCATGATCATGATCATGATGATGATGGTGATGACAATGATAATGATGATGATTATTATTATTAATCATTATAATTACAATTATTATTATTATTATTATTATTATTATTATTATTATTATTATTATTGTTGTTGTTGTTGTTGTTGTTGTTATTCTTGTTATCATTATTATTACCATTATGCATCTCCAGGTGCAATTCATACGAAACAGGAAATATCAGTCTACCACGATCTATCATGCCTTCTAAATGAGCGCTTTTGCATCTCTCTCATTGTGGAGGCTTATCGAAGGACTGAAAAGGGACTGGAGGTCGATCTCCGGTGACTATGACTTTTCTTGGGTTGCGCAATCCTTATCATTTGGAAAAACTGCAATCTCGGCGTGTGTGTGTGTGTGTGTGTGTGTGTGTGTGTGTGTGTGTGTC